TATTAGTATAATTTGAAACTCGGATGTTGAGCCAATAATAAAGGTAGAAAAGAAAAGGACATATGGATACAAGTTAAGTGTAACTGTCCACCACTGTAACTAGATACTATATACAGTCAGAATGTGCAACGACAAGGCCCAAAGGTTGACAGAGTACTGAGGTATGCGACGTCCCGAGTGTCTAGTTACATTTATGTAACGTTATGTTATGATATGTTTATTTCACCATAGGTACAGGCATTGCTGCCTTCTTGCTGTAGATCATAAATGATGCCACAGCTCCTAGGCTATGATGAAAAAATAGAAATAGTATAATACTTGGTCCGGCTAATCGCAATTGTCGCTTATCCCTCACACACTTTTGGACAGGTAAAACCCAGTACAATCAAGATATCCAACTTACCTTTGTTTGGGAGGTTGTGATGGCAAGATCAAAGGAGGCACCAACAAAAATGATCGCGACTAGCGCTTTTAATCGCGATGTGTTCGACTTTTTTTCGGAAGTGGGAATCTGGCCATTCACTGTCTGTGTTGCCAAAAGCCAAGCGCTGAGACCTGAAGACCGGAAATGTAGCAGGGGCAACAGACATCCTGACCTGGAGAGCGTGACAGGCACGCATGCACGGCAGAGGAGTATCAGCATCATGCTGAAGAAGAAAGGTGTTTTTGATGCGATGCGCCCGGCCGACGTGTTGGTTATTCCTTCGCTTGGTGGACCTAGCACCAGCCTTACAAGATTCATGGTCAGCGTATCCAGCTGAGCGTATGAAAGCTGTCTGGAGAGGCATGTATGCCTCATTCGAAGGCTTTGTTGAAACACACTCTGGTGACACACAGGTCACACTACACACGGTGCCTTCAAGCACCGAAGTGACAGCCACAACTGTTCCTTTCCCATTGCTGCCATACGACAGGCTGAGAACGCAAGAGATACTCTACCAGTCTACGCCAGCAGCTAGACACCAGCAAATGTCAGCTCATGTAATGGCGCGGCAGCTCGAGAGATGCAGAGTTGAATGAACTCTGGACCTGTATTACTAGTGTGAGTGCAAGAACGCGCTCCTTCGCTGATTTAGCTCGTGCATTTTGCTTACCTTGCTTCCTTTCTTCGACTCGCTTCACCTGCTTCCATTGCTGAACCTTGTTTCTTGTGGCGGAGAGTATTCATGTATCATGCTTCCTCACTATGCCTGTTGGAAATTTCACTGAGCGGTAAAAAACTCCTGTTCTTAGTGTCGATAGATAAGCGACAATTGCGATGAGCCGGACCAAGTAGCTTAATATGATCAAATACGAACAGTATGGGAAATAATAAGATGTCGTGACTATCAGCAGTACAATTATAAATACCATGCAGCAGTGTATTCTATGTGTGTTGTGGTTGAAGGTAATATGGGGGGGGGGGGGGGGTTGGCAGTAGATGATGGACAGGGGACAGAACGTAATAGTTTGTCAATAGCTAAAAGAGTGAAGTGAGATCAAGATCGGAGAGAGATTTTTTGAAATGAACGAGGTTTGTTAGAGAGCGGGTAGCATCGGGTAGAGAGTTCCATGTGGTTCTGCCCAGAAATTGGATAGATCATCTCCCAGCAGGATTGGGCAGGAACGGGATGCGAAGTAAATTATGCAGATGCCCACGGGTGACTATGCGATCAGCAAGTGGTATCTGAGCAAGTAATACAAAACAATCTTGAAAAAGAGAGCTTGCAGATCGATGTATAGAGAGGAAAACAAATACAAGCAGCTTCTGTAAAAGGACTTGGTGAAGTGATGGTATGGATAACTTAGCAAGCAAGGAAGCTGTTCCAGTGCAGCGGGGAGCCTGAAACACAGCATGAATTCCAGACTTATGCAGTTTTACAAGGCATTTTAGCAGACCGTGAAAGTGCATTACATTTGCGAGTTCTCGACCAATTCGGAAGAAATTATCTCTGAGCATAGAACAAAATTCACCAACATCTTGTACAGAGTGTAAAGTAACGATTTTCATCAGTACTTTTGTGCACGAGCACATGTTGTCCAGGCGTCAGGGGCCCAGCCTCCCTGCCCATCCGACCCGCCACACACAACAACGAAACTGAACTGAGAGTTCTACATAATTTCTTGACAAGACGGAGACGGACAGACAAGAAGACCGGACACGACGAGGTAAACTGAAAACTGAAGAAAAAGACTAACATTTATGGCAGCATAAGAGCATGCGCGCAACAAAACACAACGTATGACAATGACGTAACCGTTACTTGGATCATGTACAAACTATACATGCAACCAAAACCAGTCAAATACGAGTCAAAGCAGAACGCAAAACAAACCAAAATCAACGAAAGGACCACAACAAAAAGAGCCATGAAAAGTCTTTCTACCGATACACAACAAGTACTTTCATATCTCAGAATGTTACTTGCCGTGGTGATCGCACCGTCCAAGTCTTAAAATACTGACTCAAAGCCATGCATAACGCATGCATACCAGTGGATCAGCGGTACAACAAAAGTTTTAGAAAATACAATGCCAATACTAAAAAAAAAACGATCGAGTGCAAAATTTTGAATACTCGCTCTTTTGAAATTTTCGAACGAATACTCGAATATTCGAACTAATCGTTTCACCCCTACTGTTAGGAGATCCCCCGAAAGGCTATGCCTTTGGGAAATCCTTTAAAATTAATATCAAATATAAATATATACACACTAGTCAGAACAACAGATGGCCTGATCAGTCACAACTTAAAGTTTCATGCCGTCTCAGGCACTCACCAGGTGATATGAACATCAACAAAAGTAACCCACTATTTAGACCTTAGCAGATGGTACTGGGATGTTTTGCAGTGAGTAGTCGATGTCCAGTCTTTTCAGTCCATCCATTGCTGGCTTTCGGCTAGAGAAAGAGCTCAAACGGGGGGGGGGGGGGGGGGGGCAGGGGGGACATCGGCTGCTCACTGAAAAGTATCCCGGTACCATCTGCTAAGGTCTAAATAGTGGGGTACTTTTCTTGATGTTCATATCACCTGGTGAGTGCCTGAGACGGCATGAAGCTGTAAGTTGTGACTGATCAGGCCATCTGTTGTTCTGACTAGTGTGTCACGGCTCTACCTTCCCGGTATCGAGCTCTCAGGGATTTCTGCTGAAATATAAATATATTAATCTATAAGTAACTGGTTCGTCGTAGCTGAATGCGCTGAGGGCAGGGACGTGGCTGGTCAAGACAACGAGAAAGGCGAGTTGGAGCTGAAGGCGCTCTGGGCAGGAATTCCTGCGGGTGGCTGGTTTCTACAACAAGGACGGTGCGAAGGAAAACGCACCGTGACCAAATAACCTAATGTGAGTTTGACTCGGAGTTTGGATGGTGCTCCTGCTGTGATGTGTTTGATTAGGTGGCTTCCGGGGTTATGGTTTTTATTTACAAAACGAGAAGTTTTAGTATTTTTTCAGCCCCCTCCCATCCACTCACCTTTTCTTCAGGTAAAACGAATTCCATTAAAAATATTGATATCAGGTTTCGACACCCAGAAGTAACTGGGCATTCTCCATCTGCATTCAATAATTATTTTCAAAGGGAAACTCCGTCAAACTCACCCACATGCAAACGAAAACTTTTCGTTTTGAAAATATCATTGGAAACCTTGGACGGCCCCCTTAGTTGGATTGGTTTGATTTGTTAGTGCCTGGATGTTGACTTTCGTTGTAGTTATGTTGGCGTTTCGATCTTACATTTGTATATGTTTGGCCTCTTGTCAGTATGATTAGTATGGCGTATTGCAGAGTGTACACGGTCCTCTTAGAGCCTTTAAGACCTCTTTGGTGCGGAATTTGTTGCGTATAGGTTTTATTGGAAAGAAAGATCATGGATCATTTTGTTGTGATCCTTTGGTTTGTTTTGTTTTGTTTTGCGTTCACCTTTCGACTCTGTTGGACTGTTTTGGTTGCACGTGCAGTATGTGCATCCACCATGGAATGGTTACCTCATTGTCATGCAATCTGTTCGTTTTGCTTGCATGCTCATATACTGCCATGATGTTTGTTTTTCTTCAGTTTCCAGTTTACCTTGTCGTGTACGGTCTTCTTGTTTGTCCGTCTCCGCCTTGTCGAATAATTATGTTACACTTTAGTTCAGTTTCGTGGTTGTGTGTGGCGGGTCGGATGGGCAGGGAGGCTGGGCCCCTGACGCCTGGACAACATGTGCTTGTGCACAAAAGTGTGTGAACATAGTTGATTTGGCTGCGCTGCATTGATGTGAGCAACAGTGACCCCTCGTTCTTGTACCATGTTTCAATGTGTATTTTAGTCGAATTTTATTATTTTACCAATATTGTGCGTGTGTGTGTGTGTGTGTGTGTGTGTGTGTGTGTGTGTGTGTGTGTGTGTGTGTGCGAGTGTGTGTGTGTGTGTGTGTGTGTGTGTGTGTTCGTGCGTGTAACTTGCGCGGTATGTGTTCATCAATCTTCGGTGTCGCGAACAATACTATTTTCCCCCAATATAAGTTACACATTTTATACTAAATTTCTCAGATGAAGAAAGGGGTACAACGTACAATCGAGTGTTACATCCTACCTATATTTCTATTTATTTTACACTCGAACCTAATAAGGGGTGTGACTTATAAACAGGTGCGGATTATAATGGAGAAATGTGGTATGTGACGTCCATAAAGGGTACATCAAAGCAGCCATATAATTATTATACTTTGAAGTAGTCTGGTCACAGCTTGGAGTATAATTACTGGCCTATGTGGTGAATGAGGACAGCTAGAGAGTGGATATTGTGGAGTTTGGACTTAAACAGTGTTGAACAGATTGACAGCTGCTGGTTACTATCCAGGCAGTGAAAGCAATCAATGTGTGTAAAATTACAAACAAGGCCGGTCCAGGAAGCTCGAGGTAGAGTGCTCAATGTACGAATGATGATGATGATGATCGCTCCGATGCGTGAAACTTTAAGTTGCAGCTAACACAGCCTTTCGCCTCTGTTGTGTGGGTGTGTAAAATTATGTACCTACAGACTTGCAATGTGATCCGATTAACAGTTTAATCTTCTTAGACACCAATGGACAGAACTTCCAAGAAGCCCTGCATACTTGCAACCAACATGGGATGACTTTGCCTCGCACCTACCTGGTGAACTGCTACAGACGTCTTTCCAACCTATTATTTGGCGACCAACCTGCCTGGGTGTTTGTAATTACGAATAAATTGGCACTTGCAACTGATGGGAGACAATACGATCGAATAACTACCAGATTTCGCTACACATTTTGCTCCAAGGGTGAGTTCTCACCTTACTGCTCTATGAACACTTTTGTAGATCATGTGTAGAAGAATGTGCTCAGGTATAATAAGGTGATCGTGTGCGTACAAAACTTGTATTGGTAATAACTTTGGCATGCATATATTTTTCAACCAAAATTTTCTGTGTCGATACATTGGTTTAGTTGTCATCGATTTCCAATATCAAATTTAAATTATGAGCAGAATGACGTCATCAGTGCTACTTTTTATGTACAGATTTCAACCTAAAACGCGGAGAAAACGAAAAATAGTAAGGCCACAAATGAACACTTTTGTAGATCATGTGTAGAAGAATGTGCTCAGGTATAATAAGGTGATCGTGTGCGTACAAAACTTGTATTGGTAATAACTTTGGCATGCATATATTTTTCAACCAAAATTGTCTGTGTCGATACATTGGTTTAGTTGTCATCGGTTTCCAATATCAAATTTAAATTATGAGCAGACTGACGTCATCAGTGCTACTTTTTATGTTCAGATTTCAACCTAAAACGCGGAGAAAACGAAAAATAGTAAGGCCACAAATCCTGGTGAACTGGATACCCTTTATTATTATGACGACTTTATTCACTCCCAAATCAGAAAAAGAAAGCTTGAAAGGAGGCATGAAGCACAGCACCGGGATCCGTATGACCGAAGGGTGAAGCACCAATCAATGAAGATAAAAGAAAATCCTGAATAAAATTTTGATAAACTTCATGAGAGAAAAATTCAACTATACCAACTTCGATACTCACAAAAATCACGGTCATGTATAACAGAACTACTCAAGTAGTAAACACCAAGCATGCTGCACATGGGACACTCCAAGCAAGACCAACTCAGACGAGATAAAACGGCAAATGCAGAGAAAGACAATACATGACTGGGGGCATATGGCAGAAATTCACGCCTCTCAGCTCGTCACGCAGCACATGATGCACCACAATCATAAAACACACAGACTGAGACACATTGAGACATTACGGGCAGGCTAACATAAGGTCAACCGACCGTTCCGACCATGCCACTCTCCCATCCATGACCAGTCACCGACCGCACAATTCTCAGGGTGCCCGGAATAGCACATTGCTGCAGCCGCTGGATCACGGACGCGTGGAGCCCAAGGCTTAAGATGTGGCTGCGGCTCGTTCCTGACACACCACCCAGAGCACCAATGATAACTGGAACAATAGTTACCTTTTTGTTCCAGATCCTCCTCAGCTCTGCTGCCAAGGGCAGGTATTTGCTGATTTTCTCCTGCACGTTCTCATTGACCCTGTGGTCCAATGGGACACTGACGTCCAAGAGCAGTGCCCGATCATCCAGAACCAGCACCAGGTCTGGTCTGTTTGCTTTTATTACTCGATCTGTGGGAATGGAAATATCCCACATATTATTATTATGGCAATAAATAAGATAAATTGTGCACTCATAACAACAGCAAAAATGAAGAAAGTCAAGTTCCATAACGTTTTCTTGTGACTGTCATCAGTGGAACGCCGTCACATAAAAATGTAATAACTAAAACACACACTTATATACATGTAGCTAATATGGTTTCAGGTAGATATACAGCAGCTAACAAGTACAAAAAGCGAAGTTTGCACCTTTGCAATGTGTGAATATAGTGTATGTGAGAAAGGTAGTGGCAGATGAATGTGATACTGTGTGAATGAATGTAATGGTGCGTGTGTATTACTTGAAGAGTGTGAGTGATACAACGTTTTCTTTCTGTTTACATAGCACAGGGTCACGAGTACGAATATACACAGCTTCCAACACCTGCAATTGCTTGAAGAAACGTGCGCAACGAATAACACTAAACCAGGAATCGTCAAACACCTTACGACATTCTGGACTGGACACCAAATGCTTGTACACTGCAGACTTCCTCCCGTCAACATCAAACTCCTCCTCATCACTACTCTCATCCTCCACCTCCATTCCAATGCCGCCGTCCATCCCATCGCACTCGTATTCGTCGTCATCAGTCTCCATCTCCTCGCGACACCGCTTCCCTCTCCTTGATTCGTTCTGTGCCGTGCCTGTGCTTCCTCCTGCGTCTCCTTGCCTTGTGTTCTCCACTTGTCTCAGTCGTGCCTCTGCTAGTCTCTTGCTTCTCCTCGGTTCTGCTCTGTTTTCAAGTTGTTCCCCTTCCGCTCTTACCGTTGTAGCAACATGGTTTGTCGAGGAGCGACCGTCCGGCGGCCTCCCTTGCCGTGGTCCGGTAAAAGAAAAATCGTTGTATCACTCACACTCTTCAAGTAATACACACGCACCATTACATTCATTCACACAGTATCACATTCATCTGCCACTACCTTTCTCACATACACTATATTCACACATTGCAAAGGTGCAAACTTCGCTTTTTGTACTTGTTAGCTGCTGTATTTCTACCTGAAACCATATTAGCTACATGTATATAAGTGTGTGTTTTAGTTATTACATTTTTATGTGACGGCGTTCCACTGATGACAGTCACAAGAAAACGTTATGGAACTTGACTTTCTTCATTTTTGCTGTTGTTATGAGTGCACAATTTATCTTATTTATTGCCATTTTACGACTATTGTCTCCTCGTCGACTGTTTACATATTATTATTATTATTATTATTATTATTATTATTATTTTGACTGGTTTTGAGGGAAAGAGACAAACGGGAAAAGTCTGAAGAAAGAATTGACTGTCACCACCAGGACTCGAACCAGGGACCCTCGCTTGTAGCCAGCGATGCTCTAACCGCTGAGCTATGGTGTAGTCGTCATCCAAGCAGAGACCGTTCAACGTTTTCTTCAGACTTCGTAACTCACACTTCCTGTGAATCCACACAGGCGGGTGGGACGCAGCCCTCACTGTAACCCACACACTTCACGTACAAACTAGCACGCTGGGAGCCCCAAGTCATAAAATATTGACTGGTTTTGAGGGAAAGAGACAAACGGGAAAAGTCTGAAGAAAGAATTGACTGTCACCACCAGGACTCGAACCAGGGACCCTCGCTTGTAGCCAGCGATGCTCTAACCGCTGAGCTATGGTGTAGTCGTCATCATTATTATTATTATTATTATTATTATTATTATTTGAAAACACCGCCATTCCGGCAACAGGCTCTCAGCTGCACTAAATAAATAACTTTGCCAATATTTCGCCCATTGGGCATCATCAGGGCATTGAGGAAGGGGAGGCCAAATTACGAAATATAAAGACGAATAATGCAGGCAGATGAATGAACTAACACATCATGGTGACACAATTGGCAAGGCCAGCAAACTAAACAATCATCACTTGTAAGGTGACCTAAACAAAACGAAAGATGAGAAAACTCACACATACACACAGACACAATTTGGCAAGAAAACTAACACTAACACTAACACTAAAGTTTACAATCATCACCTGTAAGGTGACCTAAACAGAAGAAAGAAGACTAGTAAGACTATCACAGCACGTACAAGAACACTTTCAAGTGTGGGAATGCTAAAGGCGATCTATGTATATGACAGCGGTGTATGTGCAAAGTATGTGTATGTGCTGTGTCAGGTGGTAAAGTCCAGTGGTAGTTCGAGGAGATGGGTGTCGATTCCAGTGACGATCCGGTGACATCCAATCAGTCAATTAGGCGCCAGCCGTCATCGCAATTGACTGCTGGTTTGCGCTTCCTTATCTCGATAGCTTCAAGCAGTTTCCTTGAAATATTGGCAAAGTTATTTATTTAGTGCAGCTGAGAGCCTGTTGCCGGAATGGCGGTGTTTTCAAGTGCAAGGAATACGCTGCAATGGAGTTTGGGAATTCTGAAGAAACGATTATTATTATTATTATTGTGGAAGAGAAAAAGACATATGGATACGAGTTAAGAGTAACTCTCCATCACTGTAACATGATACTATATACAGTCAGAAAGTGCAATAACTAGGCACAAAACTGACAGAGTACTGAAACATTCGACGTCCTGACACCTAGCTTCAACACATCTCCGTAGCGCTAACCGACAGCCTTCCAACTTGGAAGGTTCAAGGTTATGGAAAGACCAAAGAGGGGAAGGCAAGCGCAACGAAAACGAGCAAAAGCTACAGTCCCAACGGAACAAAGAATGTCGATTGTTACTGGACGATGACGAGACCAGTACGATATTTGACTGTATATAGTATCATGTTACAGTGATGGAGAGTTACTCTTAACTCGTATCCATTTGTCTTTTTCTCTTCCACATTTATTTATGGCTCAACATCCGAGTTTCAAATTATTATTATTATTATTATTATTATTTGAAAGTAGGACGGAGGCAGAACATATTACAAAAATGTATTATCTACGCATGCATCTACGCAAGAGTCACCACCAGCCAATTAGGACATGTGTCAAAGTATTGAACGTTTTCGTTCCCTTCTTGTCAAAATACTACAGGGAATGATGGAAATAGGCTAAAAGACTACAACTATAAGGAAAAGAAGTTCAGAAATATATCACTCCAATTATGTGTAGAAGTGACACGAAAAAATAGATGTGAAGAATCAAGAAAACAGCATGCAAATCCAATAAGTGACAAAAACGTAGTGACAAGAAAAAGAGAGAAATATCAAGAGATCTATTTCGCACCTTCACGACGAACAGTGCCAAACAACTGCAAAGACAACACATTCTCCTTCTGAACACAAAGCTCAGGGTCTAACTTACGTATGTACAAAGCTTCCAACACGGCAAGATGTAACAAAGACCTACCACGCGACAAAACAGAGAACACATCATCGGAATACCACTCACGACAACTAGCACTGCCCGACAGGTGACACTTGATTGCCGAGGTACCGTTTCCCTGACCCGACGACTTGGCCGTTGTCACCTCCGATATTGCCGCTTGCGAATCTCTCCCATTACGCCCTGCGTCCCTGCAATTCCGATTGCCTTGGTCGAGATCAGTGTGCTGCTCCACGTCCAGTCTGTCCTGCTTCCGTGGTCTACCTCGTTTCTTCACATTAACCGTTGTTGTCACT